GCAGGCCAAGGATTTCAGAGCTTTCACGAGAATTTGTTTTCTGATGTCTCAGCTCCCTGATTCACCTGCGCAGTGGCCAGCAAGCAGGCAGAGGGGCTGGGTGAGAGTGCCAGTCGCAGGGGGCTGGGGGGCCCCAGGAGGCTGGCAGGAACCAGGCCTCTCAGCCCAAGGCTCAAGACTCTGGCTCTTTCCTTTTCTCCTCCCCTTCGTCCTCCTCTCCTCTCCCAAGGCCTCCCTCTCCTGTAGTCCCGCCGCTGTCCCCTGGCCTCACCGCCACCTGCCCCTGCTTTTAGCCCCGCCCCTCTGCTCAGCTGTGCACACGTACACATGCAGCACACTCACTCTCCAGGTGCTCACACGCAGGCCCACCTGCCCGCACCGTGCTCCATGTGCCTTCTGCATTAGCACAGTCACGCTGCAGGTGACAGCCAGAGGCTAGTGGGGCAGGAAACCTCATTCACGTACCCTACGGCCGTGAAACTGTATTTTATTTTTGCAACTTTTATTTTAATGTTTGGAGTTACGTTTTTTGTTCTCCCATATGGGCACATGTTCCTCAGAATTCTTTTATGCTATGAACCCAAACTTGCTCATCTGGGACTCGCAGTCAGAGCTGTTCCTCTCGTGTCCCCACAGGGACGTCATCCCTGGCTGATGAGTGGCCAGAGGGGGCTGTGGGTCTGAGCAGACACAGATCTTCTCCAGGCTCGAGACACAGCAGGGTGAAGGTGCAGAGGACATGCCCAGGGGCATGTCTTCATCTCCTCTTAAACTCCTTTATACCCTCTTACAAATTTACAAACTGAGTTCCATCCCCAGCCAGGGAGCTGACCCACAGGGCACAGCAGACCTCTCCTGACCCTCCTGCTGCTCCCCTTAACAGTGTATTTCAGCACATCTGCCTGTTCTGCTCCCCACTCTGTCTCTGTGAATCCGCTCACCGTCCATTTTCCTCTGGCCTGTACCCCAGTTCCGTATGTATAAATAAATAAATACTAAAAAGCAAACAAACAAACTCCGTCGCAAAGAGACTCACAGACATAAGTTCCCACAATGATATTAAAGCCCCAAATCCGCCATCCACAGGTGCTGTTTCTCCCTCTGCTCCCCATGGTGCACCCCCACACCTTCTCCCACTGCTTTGTCCCAGCAGGCTCCAGAGCTGCACACCTCCAGCTCGGCCCATGCTTCCAAGGCCAACACTACAGTGAAGACTAAGCTGTGACTCCTTCAGGGGTCGGGGTTGGCTGGGGAGAAAGCACGGACCGCGCAATGGTACCTGGCAACGTAATTAAGAAGAGGGAAGTGAGCTGCGCTGACCATAGCCACCCGCAAAGGAAGCGATGCGGCGTCCAGGCGACCGTCGGAAACCAGGTTCTGGGAGAAGCTGCTGACTTGGTCCGCCCCCAAGCAACAGACTCCCATGCGGAGATTTACTTGCCTGAAACGCGAGTCCAGGCCTGGTAGGACTCCCGGGAGGGAGAGGGCGCAGGGGAGCGCAGGTAAGAATGCAGCTGTGGCTCTGGGCTTCTCAGGCCACCTGGAGCCTGCGCCCTTCCCAGTTCTGGCCTCCTGGTGAGGTGGGCCCGGGGCTCTCACAGTCAGGCCACTCCGGTGAGCGGCCTCTGGCTGTGCTGCTCACCCCAGCTAGCCCGGGAGGAGGCCTGGGCCTGAAGGCTCAGAGAGCTCAGCGGGCCTGAGGGCTGAGGGTTGGATTGATGCCCTTGGAGAAAAGGCAAAGGCCCTTTCTGTCAGGGGCGGGTCAGCATGGGTTGCACAGGGCACCTGCGGCTCAGTTAAGGGCATAGACGCAAGGGTAAAGCACAAACTGGGGGTGGGGCGCTCTGACGAGACTCGTGGTGCTCACCAGGCCTGTGCTTCATCCTGAGCCGAGCAAAATATCGCATTATCAGCATGGGAGACACACGCTTATATAATTTGTAAATTATAAATACAGTTTGTAAATTACATGTCATCTGTCAAGTACATATATAATTTGTCAACCATGTTGGACCTATCAATTTAGGTATAATTTGTAAATTTTATATAAAAAACAATCTGTCAGTTATATAGATAATTTATAAACTATACATCACTTATAGCTTGTATATAAGTAATCTGTCAATTCTATATAGCTTGTAAACTCTGTATAATTTATAGTTTGTCTGAGTAATCTGTCAATTAGATCATTAATCTGCTCAATGATATTTATTTAATTTAGCAGTTAAATATACAGAATATGTAAGTATATATCCTTAAAAGATATAGATATCATTTGTAAATTATATATAACCGGTCAAGTGCAGATGTCAATAATCATAAATTATACACAATCTGTAAGTTTTATATATACATATAAACATTTTGTAAGTATATATACAGCTATAATTTTTCACTTAAAGAAGTTAGGAGGTGGAGGAGAGGGGGGTCTGTTGTACTGCGAGAACATTTAAAATTGATTTAGGATCATTGTCACATTTGCTCTCAAATGTGTTTCATTTCCCAGCTGCTCACTGGAGTATGGAAATTATTTGCTTTCTGGAGTTTGACAAATCCTGTAAGATGAAAAAATCATCAGTCTGCAAATTTGGTGAAGCCCTTCTTCACAGCAGTGCTGTTCCCGCCTGAAAGCTGGTGCTTCCCCCAACCTGCCCGCCTCTACTGAGAGCCCCGTCTGCCACGACAGAGCAGGTCACTTCGTCCATTTATATTGTTTTTTTTTTCAAAAATATTTACTTATTTATGCATACAAGAACTGACGTGCAGGCCAGAGATGTGGGGTGCGGGTGTGTGTGTGAGAGAGGATTCACCAGAGACAGTGGGGAACGGAACAGGCAAGACAGAAGATGTCTACTGTGCCTTGGGGCTTAGCTCCCTGGTAGGGGGCAAATTTAGGCACAAGTGGCGATAGCACTGAGATTTAACCCCTAGGTCCGCAGCGAGGCCCCCAGCCATCACTATACTTAGTTAATCATAAAAAGTTTATCTGAACAGGGGTGGGTGTCTATGGGACCTGGGCTGGCAATTTACAAGGTGCCAGCCTGGTGGGAGGCAGCAGGCACCTGCACGGGCCAGCGGTGTCTCCAATTTAATTGATGCTGTCTCATGAGAATGTGTGTCACAATTGGTGGATGGCCTGCTTGTTCCATAGATCCCAGGGTGCTGGGGTTTCCTATGTTTCTGAATATTTAGTACTCTGAATATGTAAGTACTCTAAATATTTAACAACTACTAAAAAAATTAAAGACGTAGTGAACAGTGGATAAAACGTGATAGATTCAGTCTTTAAGCAGCTGATTTTGGGCATCTGGTTTAAAGGCGGAGTACAGGACATTTGGGGTGCGTTTCACTGTTGTCAAGGGAGCGTGGTCTTGGAGTCTAAAGTTGTCCTGTGAACCACTTCTGGGGCAAAACTCAGCCAAGTCATTTAATACATTGCTATGTGTGGTGAGAAAAATAGAATGTTTGGAATTTAAGGCATGAAAAGATCTATTATTTCCAATTGTTTCTTTTCTTTTTTTTTATTCATGCATACTAGGGTGCAGGGGGTGAGAGGATTCACCAGAGACAGATTAGGAACCAGGACAGTCTGATTGACTGAAACAAACTGCTGAGGGGAGCAGTGGGCACGACAGGCAGATGTCTGTTGTACCATATGCGGGTCAGTTCACTGACTGGGGTTAACTCGTGCTGCAGTGGCTGCCCCTAGCTTGATAGTGCTGTGTCTTTAACCCCTGTGCCACCAGCAAGGCCCTAGTTCAACTGTTTCTTTAACGGATTTCTTCCTGGTGTGGATGGCCCATCCCTGCCAGCAGTCTGTGGGGCAGGGAGCTGGGGAGTTGGGATTATAAGATGGGAATTGAGTGGGAGACAACAGCTGAGGCAGATTCTCCCTGGGACGGTTGAGTGTCTCACAGGTCCAAATGTGGAAATGAGAAAAGGGGAGCGAAGGGCTGACTCAGGCAGTGGAAAACCAAGAGAACTGGAGCCAGGAAGGACTGGGAACCAGAATGTCCAGAAAGTGGCTTTTATCACTTCTGTGTGCACAATACTTATGTGTCTTCTGAACCTGAACTTTCCTTTGCCTTCGCTCTCATGCCTCAACACTGGCCCTCAATGGTTTTGTTTTTTTTTTTTATTTTAAAAGAACAGGTTTATTAGGAGAAACAGAAAGGAGAGACATCTGCATTGCACAGATGGGCACCCTCGCGGGGAGAGCTGCCCCTCAATGGATTTGCAGAGCGGAAGGATGACTCACTCAGCTCAAGTCTCCTTAGAGACTGGGACCTTGGACCTGCTGCTGAGGGCAAATATGAGAGGTGTTCCAGAGCCTGCCTTCTGCAGCTGGACACCTCAATTCTGCTGCCTGTGTTGAGCGGGAGAGGGAGGTGCATGGGGAGGGAAGTGGAATATTCAGTGGTTCAGGGGTGCCCTAGCCTGGAGGAGCTCAGTCACAATTTTGACGAAAGTATTGATGAGCCGGGTAAGTTCTTAACACTGTGGTAAGGATCTCTGAATCTCGGGGTCCCTGACACAACCAAGAGGCAAAGCCTGGCAGGGTTAGTGGGTAGTGGTAGGAGTGTACCTGCCTGCATGTGTCTCTGTGCTGGCCCCTTGGCCCCCAGGCTTCCTAGTCTCCATCTCCATGTGCTTCCAAGGTGACTCTACAGGAGGTGGGAAAGACCCACGGACTGGCTTTTATGTCTGGCCCCGGAAGGGACAATCCTAGCAAAGCAAGTTTCTAGATGACACAGCTGGGGTGTTTGTGAACAGTCTGGATAATGACCACAGGCCTCAAGATTCTGACTCATGGTCTCCTTAAGTTCTGGTAATCTCCAGGGTCTGGGACCCCCTGGCCTGTCTCTTGGACCGCTGCAGGGACTTCCCGAATGTGGCTGGAGCATTTCTGGTGAGGCTGCAGAAAGAGGGACAAAGCAGTGGCTTCCAGGTGGCTGGTCCAGGCAGCCCCGTTTAACAACAGTTCTCCCCTGGGAATCGGATGCAAAGTAACTATATTTTTTATTTCTGTTATCAACAAAATACTTCCATAATTTCACAAGAGAACATATATTACAAATAAAGAAACTCCACAAACTTTAAAGATTAGTATTTATCAACACTTTTGTACACATACACAAATAGTTTACTATCATGGTATCGGAAATGTTATTCATATAATTTTAGCACTTCATAAGTATTAACTAAAAACGTCCTTTTAAATTTGGTAAAAACCATATATTTTACAATCTTCTATGTACATTTGACATGTGCTTAAATGTTATAAAAACATTCACTTTGACCTTTAAAATATGTGTACTAGGAGTCGGGACTGAACATCTGGTAACTCAAGCCAACTCGGTTCGCTTTGAGCTACACATTCCTAGGGATTTTGTGGCAAATAGCATGGCTTGATCCACACCATTCAAAGAAGAATAAGAAATGTGCAAATCTGGACGCTGGCAGAGTTCTCAAGCTAGCGAGGTAAAAAAAAATATATATATATATGAACACCATAAAAAGTTCAAATAAATTAAATCTTTCTCTTCCCCGAGATTAGCTGCAAATTCAGAACGTGGTCCTGGAGCAGGTGATGCTGCCCTGTGAGACGCCCTCACACTTCCGTGCTGGAGGAGACCGAGACCGCAGGTACTGTGGGAGCCGCGCGGCTAATGACTCGTGTGCAAGCTCGCTCCGCCCCGCGGTTTGGCGGCTCGTCCGTGGCTGTGATCTTGTGATAGGACAAAACGACAGTCAGCAGAAGGGCAACCGGGAGGTGCACGTCAGCATCTCCAAACACAGAAATAAGACCCAGAACAGCGATTAAAAAAAAAATTCGCACAAGGGGGCCCTCCCTGGTGGCCAGCGGTTAAAGCGCAGCACTAAGAGGCTAAAGCCGCTTCCGCATGAGTTCGATCCCCGCCCTGGAGCTGACCCACATGGCGCGGCAGACCTCTCCTGACCCGCCCGCTGCTCCCCTCAGCAGTGTACTCTGTCCATCTGCCTGTTCTGCTCCCCACTCGGTCTCTGGTGAGGCCTCTGGCCACCCCTGCACCTCTGGCCTATACTCCAGTTCTGTCTGCATAAATAAATAAATCTTTTAAAAAAAATTCCCATGAGGATTCGGCAAATTTCAGAAATGCACTTATCCGAGTCCGCCTGAGGAATCGTTTAGCCAGCCCCCCTGCGAGGCCCTTTGGCTAGATTTTCAATAGATTCCCAAAGCCCGTCAGAACTCAGGCACACATCGCTGTTTGCATAAACCTTAGGAAGTATCAGCGATTCGAGAATTTTATTTTCTCGAAGCATTTATAATTTCCACTGAGTCTACCCAAAGTGGGAAACAGCTGAAGCAGCTCATCTAAATGCTTGTGTTAATGGAAAGAGAAGGAAACAAATACTTGGCTTGCTTTTACTTTTGAAAACAATGTAAAAAGGCCTAACAACACAGAAGCACATGAACCATAACAACACAAACCCCAGGCACCTGTGAAATGTATCTTTTATGTTAGAGACTTCATGAATGTTTAAAATTTATATTCATGACGTTTCCCCCACTAACTTCACATATTACCATGCTTTAAGCTCTATTCCTCTTCTGGGAGAGAACTGCCCCACAGAACACTCAGCATCTAAGAATTCCATGGCAGCAGTAAATTCTCCTTGATGTTATGATCAGTCACAGCTCTGCATCGTCTGGTAAATAATGTATCTGAGAGTATGTGAAGCTCTGAGCGCTATCCCTCTGCAGCCCATCTGCTCGGTGCTCCAAACAGGGTTCTGCAAGCTCTCGGTGACGCCCCTCGCCACAGACATCTTCGCTACGCTGACATCTTTCCAAATGTTGAAAGACACTTATTCAAGCATATGTATTTACACTTTTAGTCAGCCTGTATCTACACGACAATACCTAATGACACACCAGACACACGCATACCATATAGTTAACCCCAGCCAGGAGCACTTTCTACTTTACTCTTGACATCCGGCTTAGTTATGTGATTTCACTTTAACTCACCTGTACTATTGTGTATAGGCCTATCAGGTAACTCACTTACTATATACCAATGATGGCGAGACATTGTACGAGAAGGCACATTCCAAGGACACCATACCCTTGTCGTACAAAAAGGGCTCCAATATGGTATAATCTTCATTATTTCAGAAGTCTTCTTCTTTGCCGGGTTTTATATTTATGTTTCATCTGGATATTTGCATGCATTACTTTGCCCTCCATCAAAGGAGACTGAAGGAAGGGAGACAGCTTTCTGGCTGTCTGTGAAGGTAATTAACTCCAACACCCCGAATCTCCATTTACACACTCGCATCCACTCCATCCTGTTTCATGTGTTCCTTTATCCTGAAGTTTTTCACTAAGTAGATGATGTCATAAGAACCTCTCAGCTGCGACTTTTTCGAACACGACTGCAGTGAATTTCCTAAATCATTTTTGTGTCTGTCTAGCCACCCTAAGTCTGTTTCTGTTTTTTAAAGTTCAGTGTTAGAATGTCTTCCTGCACTGTAATTTTATACATGTCTGTGATCAGACTGTGTGCGTGACCATAGGTATGTGAAGATATTCCTGTATTCCAGATTACGGGTCATACATGCATTAAGGAATTAGGCTAAAAGTTGATTACCTTTGCCTCCCTGTTGCTCAAATCTAAATATTATTGTTAGTACTTTTTTATTAAAAATTTGAGAAAACCAAGCAAAAAATTTTGTTATGAATTTGAAGTCAGATAACATGTATTTTTTTTTTAAATACTCTGGACTTTATAGACTCCTGTCTTTTATTAGATGCCCCTGATTTCATCAAATTGTTCACTGCAACCAACTCTAAATACCCATCAGTGCTTGTAATAGAAATAGCTTATTTTTCTATAGATAACTTAGAATTTTCCTACAGTTCGTTTTGTAATACATATATGATTTTATGGGGTAATACTGGTTTACAACACTGTGAATGATTTAGGGGTACAGGCTCACACCTCTTCATAACACACCCACCAAAGCATCAATAATCCTTCACCAGAGCCGTCAGGACTGCACCCGCTCTGTTACCCCAGTTCCTCTCACTTTTGCCCTTTAGTGACCTCAATTCTGAGTCAGATTTCTAGGGTTTATTTTGTTTAGTTTTGTCTGTTTGTTTGTTTCTTTCTAGTCCACCTATGAGTAAAATCATTAGTATCTGTCTTTCTCCTTCTGACTTATTTGGCTTAGCATAATCTTAAATTCCATCCATGTTGTAGAAAACAGTTATGTAAGTTATACTTATTACTGATAATAATTAATTAAATATATCCTTCCAAGAATCTCCTCCAGGATTAGAAGTTGATATTTTGTTGCCATTTTAATCTAAGGTAGAAATATGGAATGGCCGTAGGACAGAAAAAATAATCTTTTAAGGAAAACTGTTCTTGATGATATCACATATAGTATATGTATTTTTTCAGAGATGAAGACCTGTGACCCACAGAAACTCAGAAGCAGGAGAAAATTTATTTTTTTCCCCCAATAGACCTATTTCTCTTATAGAATAATAAGAACTGTATAATCCATGGGCTTCTTTTCTTTGCATCACTTTCTCCGAAGCACAGAAAGTAATTTTGCTTCTCTTAGCAAAGGTCTTCTGAAAAACAAATTATTTTTTCCCCTTCCTTAATGAATTGTCTTCATCTTTGTCTTCCTTTTTCTTTTTAGCACTTTAGGACATAGTAATTCTTTTTTTGGATCCAAATAAGCTCAAGTGTGTTTTAGAAGTTGGGTTCCAGCATATGAATTTTCTTCTCAGAACCTGAGTTGTTAAGTGGCCCCTAGTCAGAAGGCTTTTCAACCCCATATTGACCTACCTTGACATGGAAATCAAGTTGTTCTAATTGAATAAACAGTGAGATAACACCAGCCACTACCGAGCTGCCTGGGGATGCGGAGGTAGTGGGCCAGCAGACAAGGAGCAGAACAGACACAGGGAAGAAACACGTACCGCTTCTGCTCACAGTACTGAGGGAAAGCACGGACGCAGACGAGCAGAAGCTGTACGAACATGGGCCGCAACAGAGCTGCCAGGAGACAGAAAAAACAGCATTTTTTGCTCAAAATTTCAAGGTCAGATGCAAGTTACAACTGGAGACAAACATCCCAGGACCACAGAACTTAATTTTGCTTCTCTTAGCAAAGGTCTTCTGGAAAAGATTTCTCCCCCTTCCTTAATTAATTGGTCTTCGTCTTTGTCTTCCTTTTCTTATTAGCACTTTAGGATACTGTACTTCTTTACAGTGGATCCAGATAAGCTCAAATATATTTTAGAAGTTGAGTGGAATATGAATTTTCTTTTTAAAACCTGAGTTTTTTCAACATTTTGACAACGTTGAGATCAGCATTTGTGTGTGTGTGTTTGTTTCACACTCAGATTTATAATTTCCCCCATGCCATACAGGCATCTCTCAAGATTTACTCCTCAAGGCCCCTTAAAAATCCCAAACAAGGGCCCTCCCTGGTGGCGCAGCGGGTTAAAGCACAGCACTGAGAATCTAAAAAACCGCTTCCGCATGAGTTCGATTCCCGCCTGCCCCGGAGGTGACCACATGGCGTGGCAGACCTCTCCTGACCCGCCCGCTGCTTCCCTCAGCAGTGTACTTCGTAGATCTGCTTGCTCTGCTCCCTGCTCTGTCTCTGGTGAAGCCTCTCACCGCCCCTGAGACTCTGGCCTGTACCCCAGTTCTGTATGCACAAATAAATAAATCTTAAAAAAAAAAAAACAAAACCCAACAAATACTTGCTCCACCAGCAAACCCAGCCAAGGAGATGATTCTCCCCAACATAAGTTGATGAATCATTTTGTTTTTCTAACTACTATGAAGAATGTCAAATGTGGGTGGAAGGAGATGGAAAGGAATCACATGGGAAATGCAATTAGGATAAACATTTAATTCGTGACTAGTGCTAATAGTGTTTGGCCACTTTAAGGAAAGGAAGGGAGCTAAAATTTAACTAATAGCGACTCTGTAGGAGGCATTACAGTCCTGTGCTGGAGAACGACATTTCTGCCAATGGCGGTGGTCCCTAGATACAGCTGAGGTGTGTAGCGGGCCCCTACCATCTACTGTGCCACCACAGCTGTGAGCTGTACAAAGGACAAAGTCCCCTAACAACACATTTCTCAGACTGTACCCCTGATGTTTAGTGACTCATTACTGTCTGAGGTCAGCTTAAGTCTCCCTTGACTCTTCTGCAAGAAGCGCAGTTAAGAACATGCCCAGCTCCCGGAGGGCTCTGTGGTGATGTGATGTCCAGGGGTGTGTGAGGGTTGATGGATGCAGGTCACACAAGTGATGCCTGGCTTCCAACCCGTGTGCCCCGGTACTGTGAAGATGCCCACGTTTGTAGACAGTCTTACCCAATACACTAGATCCCCACCACAGATGAGAGATGACTTGCTTGAGGAGTGGAGGACTGACATTTATACCAGTTCTACAAACCAGGAGGCTCCACAGAGGGTCTTGACTTTAAAAGGTCATGAACCCATTTTTTAAAAAAATTTTTTTTGAGTATAGCCGTAGAGACCTCTTGTGGTGGGTCTGTGGGTGGCCGTGGGATCCTAAATCAGGAATGATAGGTGGCAGCAAGCCCCTGAGTCCCGTGGTCCCGTGGTTTCAAACAGAACCCACGTATTATAGGAAACCAACCGCACCTAAGGTTTGCACAAACCTCTGAGCTGTGGGAAGTCCAGGGATTATGTTTTGTCCCCTACAGATCTTCCCCCAACCTCATGTCTGCAGTAAGGGGAGGGAGAGACCATCTCAGTCACAGCCATCTCAGAAGTGGGCCTGCCGGCGGCGGCAAGCAGTGCACACGACACCCCGGGGCGCCTCACCTGCTCATTCATGACTGCAGAGAGCTCGCTGAGCATGTCCTTGTAGTGGGAGCGCAGCTCCTCCTGGTACTCCACCTGGTCCTCTTTGATGAGGCGTTCATTCACCCCCAGGGCCTGCCCGCAGGCGTCTGCGAATTGCCTTGAGTGACAGCAACAAGGAAATGAACAACTGGCCACCGGAAGCGGAAGCTCAACATCGGTTACCAGGTGGGAGGAGGCTTAGCAGGTGGGATCCGTGACTGTCTGCAGGGCAGGGAGGTTCACTCCAACCGTGAAGAACTTACCTGAAGATTTCCTTCAGAAGCTTCACTTGGTTGTCAGGGTATTTCTTCGCATTCGTTTCTTCTAGAAAAGCTCGTGCATAGGCCATTGGGCCGGCATTCACCTATGGGGAGAAGAGAGTTAGCCACGGACAGCACCCACCTGCACAGGCCTCTCTGTGGCCGAAGGAGCAGCAACATCGACGTGTGGCACCCAGTGGTCGCATGCCAGCCTCCTCATTTGTGTAGATGTCCCCCGCCTGGTCCCTAAACTATGAAGGGATGCACTGCTAACCTTCTGTCACCTTCCCAGGCTGAGTCAGAGGTTCGCCATGTCTGTCACCTTCCTGTTGTATCTGCTTCCTGCTGAACTGTTCTTTTCTCAGTCTTTGAACATGAACATCTAAGTATTTGCGGAAAACATTCCACAGTGGACTTTCTGTGGCGTACGCGGGGCCCTGGAATCACTGACAGTCCGGGCTGGGTTCTGGCCCAAGGAGGCACTTGTCAGAGTTAGGAGCAGAGGCACAGCGCCGGCCCAGCTCATGCTTGCATGCAAGAGTGTGCAACAGGGTGAAGGGGCCCAGCTCCTTCGCGCTGGGCGTGGATTAGTGCGGCTTTGGGGCTCGAAGGAACAAGATTGAAGTAGGAAGCGCGGGCTGTATTTGGACCATCCCAGACACCTGTGACGGCCAGGGATTGCCGCGAGGGGAGACAGGCGCGGGTGGCAGGTTTCCTTTGCTTCTCCACATCCACCCTCCACCCTCCTCTATTTAGCTGAGTGCTGCGGGGAGCACATTATCGCTCTCTGCTGCAGCATGACGGACTCTCTTGCCTCCAGGTTTTGGAAACCTAGCGTCATTGTTATTACCCAATGTCAGCCAATAGACACACACAAAAAGGGGGTGGGGGGCCCTCCCTGGTGGCGCAGCGGGTTAAAACACAGCACAAAGAAGCTTAAGCCACTTCCGCATGAGTTTGATCCCCGCCTGCCCTGGAGGTGACCAGCCTGCCCCGGAGGTGACCACATGGCGTGGCAGACCTCTCCTGGCCCGCCCGCTGCTCCCCTCAGCAGTGTACTTCGTGGATCTGTTCTGCTCCCCACTCTGTCTCTGGTGAAGCCTCTCACCCTCTGCATCTCTGGCCTGTACCCCAGTTCTGTACAAATAAATAAATAAATCTTTAAAAAAAGGGGGGGGTGGGGAAAGAGGGCCAGGTGAGCCTCAGAACTGACATTACTGATTTTTCCTTTTGCCTCAGGCTCCAGGCCAGTGCCACAAAGCCGTGTTATTGACCTATTTAAAATGTGAACACTTTGTCCATATTGGATTGTTTGGGCAATTTGTTTTTTTTTGATTTTGTAATGCCGCATTATAACAACATTATAACATTATAACAGTTTATTGAGTTTTGTCGACCTCTTAACTTCTGGGCCTGGGCGATACTTCCCTGGCCTCATGCTCATTCAGGGCATTTAGGTTGGGGCTTCCCCCTCAGCCCTCTAGAAGAAGCTGTCCATCCTGTCAGTCTGGCCTCCCACCTCCCCCTGTGCTTGCCCTGAGGTTCTACGCTGAGGCTGCAGTGTAGGGACGGTAACGCCCAGCCTTGGCAGCTGGTGTTGAACTGCCCCCCCGCCCCCCATATCAGGAGGTTTCCCTTAACACTTCCCTTTTGCAAACAGCCTGTGTATCATATTTTCTTTGGCCAGCTCCTGTGTGCAGGCCAACTGCTCCCTTCGGGACTCCAACAGTCAGATAAACACACACACACACATTTTATGAACTAATAAGCATTGCTAAACTTTGCTTTTGAGCAGTTTGATAGCTCCGAATGACAGGTCTTCTGAGGGTCTGTGTTTGCTTGTCAGTCATTTCACTTGTGAGCATTTAGAGTAGAGAATGTAGTTCATCCAGAGAAGATGGCCGGGAGGGTGAGGAAGAAGAAACGCTGTCTCAGCGAACCTTAAGAGAGGCTTTTCTTTAGTCTGACACCATCATCGTGTGTTTACAACTAAAACAATTTGAAACACTTGGGTCAAGGTGCTGGCTGGTATCACACACAGAAAAATCTGGTCTCTCCCACCCTTTGTGGGAGCGTCTGAGGGCGTCTTACCCAGGTGTCTGGGCCACGCGCATCTCACCTTCACGCCGACACTGCCCTGCAGTTTGAGCTGTAGGCGGATCATGTCCACGTCGTCCATCGTGCACAGCTGGTTAAGCTCAGAGACCTTCTTGGACATTTCATCAATCGCCACCTCGATGGGGTTCAGTTCTGTGCTCGACTGGCTTATCACTTGTATTCGCTTCTTCACGTATGGGAACAAGTGGCTCGCTGTCACCAAAGCAAGACAAGAGTATCTGAAGCTGGGACTCAGTGACAGGGGCGCCCCGAGAGTGCAGAGGGCCCTGTGGTGTCACTGCAGGGCCGTCTCCTTTCTGCCTGGTTTTGTGTGTGAGTGAGTCATTTCTCTCCGGGGCTGCACTCGCCATAGCCCTTAGCGGCTGCCCCGGCTCCTGTACCCCGGGCCCCGCCACCCTCCGCTGTCAACGCCTCGAGCTGGACTAAGACCTTCAGCACTTCTGTGTACGGAAACATTATGGTCTGTCTCACAGCTTGAAATTCAAATAAGACGTCACTAAGCCACAGTAAAGAATGCTTGAATATGCGCTCCAGAGCATATAAGAGGTGTATTCTAGATTTTTTTGATTTTAAAAGCTCTTGAGAGGTTTACTGCAGGTGACCACTTCTTAGAGTTTGGATGTCTCAGCTACTCAGGCCTCCCACACAGTGGAGGCAGGCGGGGCTGCCTCTCAGGAGCGTGGCTCCAGGGAAAGCCTTCACTCATTCTCCCTGTCTGCCTTGGCCCTGCCTCCCCACTGCCATTCCTCCTGCAGTGCTCATATGAAATTCTTGCTTTCCGCCGCTCTTTTCCTGCCAGACTGTTAGTACTCTGAAGGCAAGAAACAGGTTAGGTTTAATACATTAATACATGAATGTATTTTTTAAATATTCATATGTAATTGATATTTTTAGATTTGGGTTTAAATCTAAAGTAGATCTAAATAAAATTAAATTTAATTAAAATTTTGTATGTAATTTAGATTTCATATTTAAATAGAATTTAATATGGTTAATACCTATTTATTCGAATTGCCACTTATTTATTCTTATTGTTGGACACAAAAATGTCCAGCCACTAATAGGCTCTCCTTAGAAGTTTGATGGATACAGGAAAGGAAGACCAGCGACTGGAAAGATGGTGCTGGAAGGGAGATTGGATAAACAGGTCTTGCCTTCACCCTATGGAAGAGGAGCCTGGATTTCAGAGTGGTTTTGAATCTTGTCCCAAAGCACGCCATTTTGTGATCCCTAACGGGAGGCAACTAAGGGCAGATTCGGGGAGAAAAGAGCTAGTTCACGGCGGCTTTCGCCAAGATGTAGATGCGGTGGTTTTTATGTGTGGGAGCTCAAGGGGAGAGTGTGTACAGAGGCGCTATGGACAATCCGCTTCTGCCTGACTCAAGGGTCTCCACTCGCAGGAGAATACTGAGCGAGGAATGTGCTCTTCGAGGCAAGCATGTGCGCATTAGCACATTTTGGGTCACACTCTGCAGGGATGAACTGTCTTGATTTCCACCCAACCAGAAGCCTCAGAAGCAGCCCCGCCCCCTGGAGCAGCCCCGCCCCCTGGAGCAGCCCCGCCCCCTGGAGCAGTCCCACATGGGAGCAGCCCGGGCCTCTGGGGCCATCCTGTTCCCTGGAGCAGCCCTGTCCCCTGAGGCAGTCCCACACAGAGGCAGCCCGGTCCTCTGGGGCAGTCCTGTCCCCTGGAGCAGCCCCGCCCTCTGGAGTAGCCCGCCCCCCCTGGAGTAGTCCCACGCAGGAGCAGCTCCACCCTCTAGAGTAGCCCTGTCCCCTGGAGCAGTCCCACGCAGGAGCAGCCCCGCCCCCTGGGCAGCCCAGTCCTCTGGAGTAGCCCCGCCCCCCCAGCAGTCCCACACAGGGGCAGCCCTGCCCCCTGGCGCAGCCCTGTCCCCTGGCACAGCCCTGTCCCCGCCCCCTGGCACTACACTGTCCCCTGGGGCAGCCCTGCGCAGCGGCACCTACTGGTCAGCACAGTCCTGCGCTTGCACTGCTCCTCCACCCCGCCATGCTTCTTGCCCGACTGCGTGAAGGGCGTCTCGAAGACAAAGCGGCTGATGTTGTGGTGCATTTCGAAATCTGTCTTCCGGTCCTCTCTCTCCTTTTCCTCAAAGAATGGCGTGACATAGGTCACCTGGATGTAGGCATATTTGGGGTCCAAATCCTTGGGGTTTACCTGTGTGCATACATGGACGGCAAAGAAAGAGTGGTGAGCTGGGTGCTCTGAAGGAGTTCGGGAGTCACAGGTGCCTCCTCAGCTCCATGCCCTGGGCAAGCGGGCAATCAGCCCATTTCAGAGCTGGGGAGCACAGAGGAGCCCCGCTGTGCGCTCAGCAGCCAGGTGGTGGCAGAGGGCGTGTTAGTGCCAGCTCCCCTGGAGGGAGGGCTGTGCCCCCTGAGTTCCCAGCTGTGGCATATTATTAACCTTCCCTTTCCTTTCTCTCCTCCGGTGGACTTTCCTCACCTTTTTCTAGAATATGTTTCTTGAGAGTGGAAATCTATCTGGGAGGTAGCCTGTACCTCACTGGGACCCTGGCTCTGGACTAGGGGTGGGGTGGGGGGCGCCCTGTCTGCAACAGGTACCTAAAGCTATCTCCTGCGCAGATACTTTATTCTTGAATTTTCGATGCAGACCTTGTCGGATCTGCAAGCAGTTATTCTGTGTAATTTCTTCACTCTCCCTTTTTTGAGGACCAGGCTTGACAAGCAGCTGCGAGGATAGACTGGGAGCCCCCAAAAGTCAGTCCACTGTTGCTCTTTACGTTCACAAGACAAGAGTGTCTGTCCCCTTTCTCAGGCTCGAAGAATTTTCAAATTTCTTTCAACTTTCTCCATCTGCCACCCTTCCACTGTGTCTCAGGTCCCTGAGATTCGAGGGCGCTCACGAACTGGCCTGTGAGGCTGCGAATGGTGGCACCGGTAAGGTGGGTGTAACTGTCTAACAGGTAAGGCACGTGGAGGTCAGAGGGGCCAGCCAAGAGCACCACCGCCAGTGGGGGTGGAGGGGAAGAACCAATGGCTCCACGCCCAGTCTGGTATTTTCCACATTCTGCGGGGAAGTTTCTAAACTACTTGCTGCTTGGAAGCCCAATTGTCACAGAGGGCCTAGGCCTTCACCTTCATGGGAAAGGGAGTTGCATCTTTCAAGCTAAGGAAGAGGATGATGAACATATTTTTCACATCCTCAGCGGGGCCCAGCAATCCCATGCACAGACCCTTCAGATACCAGCTTCATGACTGGGGACAAGCAAAAGCCAACCCCGTCTGTGGTCCACAGGAGGCAGATGAGCTTCTCCAGCCCCATCCTCTACCCAGCCTGTGTTTCAGAGGTCTGCCATCTCCAGGCCACCCTGTCGCTAAGCATGCTGGGCCTCTCAGAGTGCCCCTTGCCTCCAACCAACCCCTCAACTGGCGGGCACCACAGCTCCTGGCTCAGACATCACCTCTGGGAAGCACTGCTCTGTCAGGGGCCAGCTGGCCCCCCCCTCAGCTCCTCCTGGGTGGCTTGATTCCAGCTCCCCCAGGCTTCCTTTGCTCATTGAATCTTTTCTGTCACTGTTCACATGGGGTAAAGAGAGAAGGAGGTGGGCTGGGTGCGGAGCCCACCTCCTTCTCTCTTTACCCCATGTGAACAGTGACAGAAAAGATTCTGTGTGCCCGGCTCCCTAATTCTGGGGCTGGTATACAGTAAGTGCTTCATAGAGGTCTCCTCTGTGAGGAAGGTGTCTTAGGATTCAGAGTAATCTCAGCACAGTGTAAGCTTTTGCTTTCTGGAGACTTGAGGTTAATTGGATGTTTATAGGTTAATACAATGTAATCGACAAGTCTGCTACCACAGGCAACAGGTTTCAAAATTGGTCTGACACAGGAAGACCTCCACCACTGAAGAAATGCTTTTTTCTTCTTCCTACCAAGCCCCCTGGGCCCCATTCTTTTAACCCTTGGATGGTTACTCAGTGCAAATAACCTCTGTGAGAGTAGAGCACTTAGCAAGTTGTCTCTAAGATTACCTGAAAGTTTCTCTAATAAGCACATTTCATATTTTAGACCAAATTTCCCCCATCAATCAACCAATACAGAAGCAAAATCTCTAAAATAGTGTAGTTAGTTTGCACAGTCAGGGCTAAAATTAAAACCTTAGTGATTATAAGTAAACAATAAATAAAGTCATTTCTTTGGACCTGCATGGAAATTTCCCCTACCTTGTTTGAGTCCTGGATTATCTTCACATTGTCTGCTCCGAATTTATCTGCGTATAGCTTGAGCAGTCTTTGAGAAATCTCTGAGAGGCCTGTCAGTTTGGGCTCTTTATAAATATACTCTTTACCTTCTTCTTCTTCAAAAAATCCCTATGGAAGATAAATAATGAACCATCAATTTTATTTGTTAATTCCAATCACAAATCACTAACAAAAAATGTTAAAAAAAAACAAAACCAGGCATTCGGTAGTCATCCAAGTCATTGACTAACACCCCATACAATTCAAAACCAGAGAACTACGCGAAGAAAATAAAGTCTCATGTTAGGGTCTGCCAGTATGTGAATATTCCTGATTCAGGCCAAAACCCTTCAGGAAATAGCTTACGCGTATTTTCTCTGTAGAACTCAACGGAAATACCTGCGAGCATGTACTTTGGGAGAAGAGCGCCCTCATGTGGTATCCTAGAGTAGGACACGTCAAGTAATTTTTGGTAATTTTCAAAGAACTATCATTTTCAGTAACCTTCCATAGATTTTTGAAAATAGAATAGAAACACCAGAAAGGCACGCAGAGACAGCTCTCTGGGTCACTGTGCACCCACACCGTCTCAGGCAGAGTCCATACACTGTATTGCTCTCATTGCAAAAATTACATGTGCTTTGCTGCTGGGTTTGGTATTTTAAAATCGTATTAATACGTTTTCAGGAGCCTGATGTAGCTTTGCTATATGCAGTCTCATCACTCAGTTTACTGACAGATAGTTTACAACCTGGCAATGCCAGACTTTACAGAATTGAAAATATCACCCAGGCCGTCTTTTCATGCTATAGAAGCAAAGAGATTTTGGCTTCTGTTAATTTATTTGCCTGAAATTTATCCGGTTTGAAAGAGGAGGAAGGAACGACTCTATCATCCCAGGGTAACTAAGTGAGGCAATCTTTATGATTCTGTCCCTCTGAAGAAATGCAGCATTTTTCCTGAAGAACATGTGTAGCCACACGGCCCTTGATTACATGGGTGTTAAGACTCCAGGTGCATCTGGCTTCTTCTGATTGCAGTTTCCCTCAAGGAAGTGGCTTCTGAGGGACGGGAAGAGATACTGGGGGTCACGGACTCTTAGCTGTACTTTTTGTTTTATCATTTTTGATATTAAAAATACTCAATATATTTGAAAACTGGATAAAAAGTTCTAGTGTTGTATTTTCCAAGGCTAATGTGAGGTGATCTAAGTATGATGAAAACTCACAGGTCTGTGGAATTCTATCCTGCCAGGCACACCCATGTAAGCTTGAGCCACACAAACAGTAAGTACACTTTGGGGGCTGTTCGGTTGTGCCTTGTGGGAGCCAAGGACAGGTGCTTTGCCTACATGAGCTCCCAGACCCTACACCCACTTCTTGACACCAGCTTTCTTAGGTTCAGTACCACACCCCAGTGCGGGTCTTAGGGAAACCACACTTTATGTTTGTCAAATGAACGAATAGATGAAGGAAATTGTTCTTCGTGGGCAAACATCTTAAAATGGTATATGTTCATATGTGTGGCTGGAAAAGATTCAATTTCTTTTCCAAAGATGTGATTGCATGATTTCCTTGCCAACTGGACAGGATTGAACACAACTGGTTATGGATATCTTGATCCTAAACAGCTAAAAAAGAGAAGGGGAAGGTGGTGATATTAAAAGCCTGGGTGGTGGTGGTGGTGAAGGGGGTGGTGGTGAGTTCTGGCCTCTTCCCTCTTCACTTTTAGCAGGAGAGTTTTTTCTGCCAGTCTTTGTGGAGTTTTATCTGACTCAAGGTCAGAAGTTTGTGGCTAAAATTGACAGACTGACACATCAGAGAAATAAGACTTCAGAAGCCATCAACCAGATCCCCTCTGGGGGCAAAAGCGAATGTTTACAACTTCCATTTCAATGAGAAAAATGTCTTCCTGTTCCCAGGAAGACTTTCTCAGCACAGTGTGAAAAATGCCATAAAGAGACATTTTCACTGTGATTTTTTTTCCTCAAGAAATTTCTGAATCTAGAATTAGCAGAAAAGAGTGGTGAGAAGCAGGTATTTCAGGTCACTGCTAAGGCCTTTGTGACCTTGGTCAGGGCCTGTGACTTTCTGTCGTCTCTACCCCTTGATCTAGGGGGATGGAAAACAGCACAAGCTCAGAAATCTTGCAGGAGGATCCAGGCACGAGCTTAGTGACTGTCAGCTCTGGTGACGGAGATGATAACGAGAGAGAAACTGTCAGTGAAGCAATCAAGTTCTGGTAAAGTGCTGGAAACAGGCCAGAGGAGCTGAGTGCTTAAACATACATACCTTCCGCTTCCCCTGTGTGGGAACTACAAAATTTCTTGTTATAAAAGGTCTACTAATGCTCAATGTTTTGGTAAGTGATTGATTAGGAAAAAATTGTGATTATTCATTTATCTTTGGAGCATAGAAAGAGAAAACTTATTGAGACTGCTTTATACAGTGAGACAAAGCGCTGGCTGAGCAGAATTAAAGGCTGAGTCTGCTGTCTGCTGGGCACTGTGGAAGAGATTCTGGAGCCAGGAAAATGGTAGCCCTGCAGACATTTGGAACGTCCGCCTCCCTTTCACCCAGCAAGGCCCACGGAGCCATGGCCGTTCTCTTAAGGAAGGTTTCAATCTCAGCTCTAAGAGATAAATGATTTACTAACGGACCTGGGTGGTGAAAAGTCAGGGGCATTTTCTCTTTTGAATTTCAAGCAACAGGGGGATGGGACCTCTGCATTTTCTTTGCTAGCTTGATTTAAAAAAAAAAAGTCATTTTACAAAGCAATAAATACCCTGCTCTATTGTGGGCGTGAAACAGCACATAGTATAGTTAAATAGGGACTTTGAACCAGTATTGAACCAGTAGAGTTAACATGCATGGCTTATAAAACTTCCAGGCAATAGAGGATAATAAAAATGTCATTCAATCAACTGACAACTAACATCACTGACTTCTGTTTTTGCAGGTTATTTCAGAATCTTGCAATGCTTGTGGGTCGTTGTTGGGATAGCAAGTAGCTCCTGCTATTTTATCCGACAAATCTAGAGTTCACAAAAGGAAGCATTCAAGGAGGGATCCAGTGTGTAAGAGAGGGGTCAGCAACATTAATAGTAGCTTATTATTTATTAACTGTTAAGACAAGCAACAAGAACATAGACAAATTGTCCCCCAAAGTCACGAATTCAGCAAACTCCAGATCGCTGGACAGTGAGAGGGTATAAGACACCCCACAATGGGTGGGGAGCAGCGGGCAGGTCAGGTGAGGTCTGCCACGCCATGTGGGTCACCTCCGGGGCAGACAGGAATCGAACTCATGCAGAAGTGGCTTTAGCTTCTTAATGCTGTGCTTTAACCTGCTGCACCACCGGGGAGAGTCTTTCCAACTCCACATGTCCCTCCCTTCCCTTTTCCATCAAGATTCTGAGATGCATCTCACCTATGCATGTGTCACCGAAAACCCAGAATCTACATTTTCTGGCGCACAAAAGAAGCTTCTCTCAGGCTTCACTTCATTCGTAGGTGGGGTGGGTGATTGTTTAATTCATACAGTGAGGGTTCACTTCCTGCATCATGCTCGATACCAGACCTGAGGGAATTCACTGGCTCTACTAATGACTGATCATTGCTCCGTTTCCTTCCTCTGGAAATGAATGCTTGGGGGACACTTTGTGGGGTGCTTTGTGGTGGCTACTGAGTAAGATTTCATAGTCAATGTCGCCAGGTGCTGCTTTAGGAAATTCAGACCATGCAAGACTAGTGTTTCTTCTCCATGAAGGAGCAGTTTTCAGCTTGTTTTCTAGCATCTGGCTCAGGATAGACATAATACACTCACACGGTAGATACTGAAACGAAAGTTTATGCACCTGGACTGCTGAAATATTTACTCAAGGTCTTGGTGGGGGCAAAGAGCCATCACATTTCATAGTCCCCTAGCCTCTGTCACACGACTGCAAGACGTGTCCTTCTGGCTATCAGACGGTGAGTTATGGGCCCTCCCTGGTGGCGCAGTGGGTTAAAGCACAGCACTAAGAAGCTAAAGCCACTTCCCCATGAGTTCGATCCCCGCCTGCCTCATAGATGACCCACATGGCGCGGCAGACCTCTCCTGACCCTCCCACTGCTCCCTCAGCAGTGTACTTCAATGATCTGCCTGTTCTGCTCCCCACTCTGTCTCTGGTGAAGCCTCTCACAACCCTTGCACCTCTGGCCTGTACCCCAGTTCTGTATGCACAAATAAATAAATCTTAAAAAAAAAAAAATAAGGTGAATAGGCCAGGACATACAGGGCTGAAAACAAAATTATTTTGGAACATGGTGCTGATCGAGCAGCAAAGATCTTTTCTTAGATTTTTGAGTCCTCTGTGTGTGTGTGTGTGCAGGGGTGCTCAGATCTACTTGGCATTTCCTTGTTATCATGTAAAGTGAAGTGCTCTGTCTGCTGTGTTGAGTATCGTTCACGCCTCCTGTGCTGTCTTGGGACAGACACTCAACTATCATTGGGACAATGATGACTGAGAACAGAACAGTCTCGTGGTTCAAAGGCTCGTGGGGTTTGAGTGTGTGGGAGACCACGACAAGTAACTGTTGCAACTGCACACTTAACAGAACACTTTGCCTGATAAGCTTACAGGAAATTTTTAATAAAAACAGCCGAGAGTGATAGCAGTGTTAAAAATAAAAGCCAGGTGTGCAATCAGCACGCTTTACAGAGGAATCTGCAAAAAAACAAAGTTAGGTCATTTGAAAGTAGCTCTCCCCAGCCCTTCCCATCATCTTTCAGTCTCTTTAGTACCGGGATTTTCAAGTATTCTTTTAGTAGGTGAGTTAAGGAGCCATGATCCCAAATTTACAAGTGAAGGTAGAACATACTGGCTGGGGATGGGTGTGGGGAGGGGTTTAAAGAATTACAAAAAATTATGTATTGGTCAGAGAAGCAGAGCTGATCGTGGACACTGTGTGGCTGCTGAGAGAATTTGTCTTTCCAGCTTACTCAACCACAGTTATGTTGAATCACAGGAAAGTCAGTTGCTATTTTTATAGGCAAAAAAAAATGCAATTTCATAGGCTCAGCATTGCAAAGAAACATCACAGACTTTGATGTTTCAACATGGTTTTTGTCTTGTCTTATTTTCCCCAAATTGCTTATATTGCTTCTTTCTGTGTATCAGGAGCCTCAAGGTGATCTACTGGGTGAAATTTAATCCACTATTGATCTTTTGCACTGGGAATTAAGAGCAGCAGGTCAAGAAAAGGCCCAGCCCTCCACCATGCAGACTACATCTCCAGGATAGCATTGGGGAAAGAGCAGGCCCTTTGAGTCCCTTTGGGGGAGCCCATGATGGCCACTGTTTACTTCTGAAATTGACCACCTTGCTCTTCTTTGCAGGCTGCAACTCCCAGTGGTGGGAAGGCCATCGTCCCTGCAGACAGGAAGGGCCAGGCACACATATTTACCCAACATGTAGTGCCTGTGCGTGTGTGTGTGTGCACGTGTGTAATTCTTCAGACTATACTTCTCTTTTTGCAGAAAGACAGGATGTATGCAAAATAAAGGATACATTTTTTGTAATTCAGATAGCTGGAATGAACATGATTTAGTTGAAGGAAGGCAGAAGGACTCCAAAATGAATGGAAGCGGACTGTCTCACCTTTGTACCAAATATTGCCTTGCACAAAAAAGTTAAGGTTCAGTAAAACCAGATAGGGAGGTGTGAGGATTATTAGAGCATGCAAATGGAGTGAGAGAAAACTTACCACCGCCTGGAACAAACAATCAAGGCCAAAGGAAGAAAAGATTAGACATTGGCATTAAAACTGAGTTGGAAAGGAGCACGACCTGTTTCTACCTGCGTATTACCCTGCATCTTAGTGACGAGCTGGAGGAGCTGGCGTTCACGGCCAGAGTACCAATGGGGCTTTTCTCCTTTTTTGACTGGAAAGGTAGCAGGATGGGTTATAGACTACTCCCTGGCTAGCGGAATGCACATCTCGTGGCCATTTCTTGTGGGTCTGTCAGCCTGGCACTCTCCCTGGAAACCCTCTCTTGCCAATCCCTCGACAGCTACATTCCTTTCCTGATGGGGCTTTCTGCCATTTTTCTTTACTGTGTTACCAAAGAAACACATGGCTTTCAGGATTCCTACATTTTTCTCTCCCCACAAAATACTATCATTTCCAAGAGTTCAGAGACTTTTCCAGGGACCCCCAAAATGCCTAACTAAGTTTAGTCTCTTTCATCACTGATTTCCTCTGTCATCACAGGTAGGGTGATGAAATATGGGTGAGATTAACCTGTTCTGGCAAGTGGCAGCTGGGAGACACTTGCCTCCCAGAGTGGAGAGAAGTTAGCTTTGTTCATTACTATGTCATATTCAAGTCTGCTGCTGATCAAAGGAAAATGTCTGTTTTTTTTTTTTTTCTTCCCATAAGGCTCCTAAGGAAAATGATCTAGAAAAACATACTGGATTTGACTCCTCCAGTTGCAGCCTTTAAGTCACTGCAATGGTACCTTCCACAGGGGGAGAAAAATAGATCCTTGAGGGGCTAAGCTTCCTTGCCATGGAGCAGACAAACAAAAGATGGACTGTTCAGCCATCACAATCATTGTCTAATGAAATATAATGGCACCGGTCACTGTTTCTGAAGAGAGACAGGACGGTGTCTGGTTTACGCTACTTAAAGCACCACTCAGAGACAGTCCTCATTCATATGTAATATTCACTTTGCTTTCAGGCCAGCAAACTGATGAGCCAAAATTCTCAGTCTTGCTCATTGCCTCTATGATAAGTTGAGAAAGATAATTTTAACATCATCTTGACTTGCAAGATAGGGAACAAAACAGCTTGCAGCTTTCTGCCTAGAAACAGTGACAGGTAGAAGAAAAGAAAATGCGAGATTGCAAAGCCAAGGTCCACAGCTCTGATGTGGCAGAACCCTCAGGAACCCTTTATTTTCTGGGGTGTTGAGGCTTTCTTTCCTGGTATACAGGCGATTAAATGTCACTTTAATATAAGATGCAAACTATAATTAGATATTTGGGGTGAGCTGGGAAGACAAGGATGTAGACAAATAACACCTTCTCAAAATCACTGTTCTAACACCACCTCTGTTGTTAAGACCCATGGGTTTCTCTTCTTATTTGTTTCTCGATTCAGTTTATGCTCATGGACAATTAGTTTATGCTCCTCGACCCTCACACTCAGAAACACTCAACTATACCAGTTACCTCTGTACCCACACCCCTCAGTTGTTGGGTACATGGACTACAAGTCCCAGAGACAGTGAAAAACAACAGCTGCTCAACAGACTTGATCACCACGTTGCTCCCAGTGAGCTCACCTGTCCATAAAACGCCACACGATAATATCGACCAAATAATCGCTTCTCTGAGTTCACCACCTCTGCCACTTTTAGATATGACCGATGGATATCATAGTAGAGATCTGATAATTTCTGAAACAACAAATTGAAGGGTTTCAGATCAACATCTTGTACACTTAAAATTTGCTCAGTGTTTTATGTCAAACTTATTCCAGTGAAACCATCTAGAACATAGGGAGTTTCAACGTCTGAAAAATCACAAATCATCCACCACCTAAAAGGAGATATGCCACTTACATTTAGGTCTAGAAAACATACCTTGAAGTCTCTCTGCTTCTCAAAGACAGCAATGATGGGCTTGTTGACGTCAGCAATGAGTTCGTATCTCTCAGACTTCCAGAGAAAGTCCACACATCTGTAGAGCTGTTCCACCAGGATTCTCTGCAACCCCAATGGAAACGAGATTTGCTATGAGGAACAGGCTAGCTCATCCTGACACCTGGTTTCAAATTGTTGCATCATCAATTTTTTCCATTCTGTATCCTCTAACTTTGTTGGTAGCATCGCTCTCCATTGTGAAGGGACAGTGACATCTTCTTGGACTTCACTACTACCACCTAATTAGTGCCTCAGAATTGCTAATTTAAACCTACAGAGTGTCTTCAGCTTGGTCTACTTCTTTGCATCCCCACTTACACTGTCTTAGCTCAATTTCCAACTCTGTCCTTCCTGACTTCAGCAGTAGTGTTCGAGCTCATCTGTTTTCTCTCACTAGCTGGACCTATATGTTACTCTACAGTAATATCTTTTCTAGAACATAAATCTAATCATGAAATCTGCACTGCCCTAAACTTCTGTGGGAACTCCAAAACTGTGGACTGCTGTCCAAACTCATGAGCATGGCACTCTGGGAGCCCGTAATTGGTCACCAGTATCCTTTCAGCACCTCCTTTTTCAGTATCCCCATTTTGAGCACCCTGCCACTGACTTTGTACTTGGCTATGCCATACTGTACTATTCCATCCTTAGAACACGTCAACCCATACTTTATTAGCCTGTGTGACTGCTATACCTATGAGAATATCATTTTGTCACTTGCCATGTTCTGGTCCTATTGAAAATTGAGACCTTGGGCAAAAGTCTGGTAACCTACTATTTATTCATCACTAATCCACTATTTATTCATTACTTAATCCACTGCTATATAAAAAATTGTTCCCCTTCTCATTGCAGCCATATATGAGGTCTAGATTTATAGCAGTTGGGTTTTAAGATGGCTATATCTCACTGAGAAGGAAGTTTGTCTTCCTCAAGATTCTAGATTCATTGAGGTGAATGATGTCTCACATATACTAGCAGTTTAACAAATATGCAACAGAATCAAATTATACACTCTCTAAAAGGAAGCATATAAAATTGTTGGCATGTTTTCAGTAATGTTTTCTTTAAGAACAAACATTGTCTATTTGCAATGCACTCTAAATTAATATAAAAGTATATGTAAATGTTCACTATAATCCACTCTGAAACTTTCCTTATTTCCCTTTTTAAAAATCTATATTAGAAGATGGTGGCAGAGTAAAGACACCGAGATCACTGTGTCCAGGCTAGTGCAGGAATTTAGGACTGAAAATGGAATATAGACTTACATACTATGAGTTTCAACCCAAATGAGAACACCCTGGACTCACTAGAAGGAAGATAACTGAGGGAGAATCCACGATTGGGAGTTCTGATAAGAGAACTCCTCACTGGGGAAAACTCAGGTGCCTGGAAGTTTGGCAGGGCTGCAGGAGCTGCTTTGCGCCTTGCAAAAGCCCTGGAGGTGAAGGGAAACGGCTCAGCGATATACAGATTTAACGCCATCTCAATAAAAGTCTCAATGACATTCTTCAAAGAAATAGAAAAAATATTGATGAGATTCATATGGAGCAACAAAAGACCTTGAATAGCAAAAACTCTCATAACTAGGAAGAAAGAGAATGGAGGCATTACAATCCCAAACTTTAAGCTATACTGCAAAGCCATAATAATTAAAACCACATGGTACTGGAACAAGAACAGACATACAGACCAGTGGATTCGGATAGAAAACCCAGATATAAACCCACAGGCTTATGGACAGGTAATCTTTGACAAAGGAGCAACAAAGATACATGGAACAAAGAAAGTTTGTTCAGCAAATGGTGCTGGGAAAACTGGGAAGCTACATGCAAAAAATGAAACTAGATCACTACCTCTCACCATACACAAAAATCAATTCAAAGTGGATTAAAGATCCAGACATAAGAATGGAAACCATAAAATACCTGGAAGCAAAGATGGGCCAAACACTACACGACATACACTTCAGCGACATCTTTAAAGATAGAGCACCCAATGCAACGATAGTGAAGGCAAGGATAA